ACTCTTAAATGCCATGTGTTTGGGTTGGGATCAGGATTTTGGGGGTACTCGGCTAGAAGAGGGTTTTCTGCTTTTGTGCTGTGAAAGCTTGTTTTACAGAGGGTAAAATTTATTTGTTGATGCCACAAAATATTCTGCTAAGGCTGGAACATTGTAAAAAGATGGGTTTTAAATTTGGCTTCCCTTCTTTCTCATCTTGACAGCATTTGAAATGACTTTGTTTTTCCTTCCAAATAACAAATGAACCTTGTGACTGTGTAATTAACTACACCTTCCCCTCCCCTCCTTTTATGGAGTTTCTTTTCCAGTAGCACAACCCTGCCAGGAACAATACTAGATCGTGGTGCTATTCTCATCGTCATCACGTGGTAGGCTGTTTTTGGTGTTCCTCCTCTGCAGTGCCAACGCTATGTCCAGTTCTCTCAGCTGCTTCAAGAAGCCCCGGTTTGGCAAGATGCATCGGTGTCTTGATACTTGCTCAATGGCATCCACTACTGTCATGTTCTTGTAAATCATCAGGTAAGCCAAGACCAGTGTGGCTGACCGGCTGCGACCCATAGCACAGTGAACCAGAACCTTGTCTGTGGAAACCAAGAGAAATGATGCAGAGATGACACTGGGTAATTTCTGTTTTTCACAGTGAAGGTTTCTGTAGTCCCCCTGCTCTGTTTGACAATCTTTACCAGCATTTTGTAAGGCCCATCTTTTTACAGATGGGGAAACCAAGGCTGTAAATCATACTGTAGTAACTGAATGCTATCTACGTTGGAGAGTGCCCATTTAATCCTAAACCAGGTATATTTGAATGTATTTGTGAACAAAGCTTGCAGAGAAGGCCTGGGGGCTGCAGCAAGCCCTGCAGCCTAATCTTGCATGCCTCACAAGCAGTGCGTCTGTAATTCTGTGTTTGGACATAATGTCTGATGCACAAGGGTGTGGGAGGGTTTGGTACGCTGTCGAACCATCCATGAGGATAAATGGTGTGCACGGAGGTGCCTTTGTCAGTTCTACTAGCTAGACAGAAAAGCTAACCGAATTTTGGGTTTTTTTGTTCTGATAGTAATGTCTTTCAGGATCTAGATTGCATCACCTTATGCCCAAATACTTAATTTGTAAAATACAGCTAACAAGGCGTTTTTAAGGCTTAGCAATATTTTTGAGGGCAGAGGATAAGGAGGGCCATAGAAGTTAATAGGCATGTAACCAGGGGATAGAAAGAAACCACCTCTTAAACTGCAGAAAAACTTCTTTAGAAACCTCTGGCAAGTCACCCTTGTGCTGTCACGTTAATGACATTTCCCCACCAGCACCACCTCTCTGTTTTATATGATTATCTCCTCGCAGTAGTGGCTTATCTCGTATATTGTAAATGAAGAGTCTCTACTAATAGTTTTCATCCCTGAATAACTGTACTTCAGGATTGAGCTTTGTGACATTGCTTGGTTTAACTTTGGACTTTCAGAGGCAGAAAGTCCTTGGCTTTAGGTACTAGCGAGGACGTAAGCCAAAGTGGAACCTTCCCAGTTTGCTGTGTCTGGGGAAGGTGGAGGAAGAGAACAGTAAGTGGGTTCAGGTCTGATTGACAGGTTTTGAAACACTTCAAAAGATTTCCAAAAATGATTCAAAGCCCTTGAGGGGGTCTCACAAAGGGTTGAACTGCTGAAGGAAGTAGATTTGGAGCACTCCCTTTAACACCCTGCTAAGCTAAATTGCCACAGGAGAAAAAAAAAATCCTATCAGGGCCAATAATAGTTTATCTCTGTCAGCTATGCCTAGTGAGAGGTGTTGGGTGCAAAGCCATGACTCCTGCCGATTAACTCCTTTGCTTCCAGGCACAAGAGGATGTCTTGGCAAAAGTAGCATTGCTGTGTAATGGATGCGTCGAGAACTGCCAACACTAGAGGATTAATGGTTACAGTCTGCATCTTAATCCCAGCAGATAGTCTTAGAGGCATCTTGGCAAAATTCCAGTCTCTCTGATAACTAAAAGTGCCTCTTCCTCTCCTGGAAAATGATAATCCCTTCTATTATTACTGCAAATATTTGAAACGGATGAAAACTCTCATTTGTTCAGCCCTTCGTGCTTCTCTTTAGAGCTTCCCACCTTGTAAATGGGATGCTGTTGAGGTGATAAAAGACGTGATAGGACAAGGAAGGCTTTGCTTTGTGTGGGTGGCAAGTGCAGGGGATCTAGAAGAAAATGTGCAGGTTTATATTGTGTTAACAAAGGCAAAAAAATGGCTGTACAATTTTCTGAAATGCCTCCTGGTTGTAGGAAAGTCTCCTTTCCTGTATGTGAATATTCAAGATCTGACTCCTGTTACAGCAGAACACAGGGCCATGTCCCCTCTGTACTATTTGGTAGTCTCCTCAGTTCTGGCGTAAGGAAAATCTGAGCCCTCATTCCCCAAGAGGAAAGTCTTTGACCACTTACATCCTTCAGGGTGTGGCTGAATATAAAGTATTAGTTCACAGAGCCAGAGGTCTGCTGAGTGATGACAGGTCCCTGAACTATTTTGGTCACTTGACTTGGGCTTGTGTTTCTTGAAAAATCTGTCTAGATGCAGTATTCCCTTTCCAGAGTCAGATGGAGTGATGAATGTTGAGGTGTCTTTGGTCAAATGCCTTGGGTCTTTGTCTGGTGTTTCTTCTCACATTGCTTTTATCATCTCAGTCTTTAGTGTATTTTTTCCCATGACCTCTTCGCATGAAAATAAAATGCTTTTCCCCTCTACTTTACATTCTGAGGAACTAAGACACGAAGGGAACATGTACTAAATCTGTAGCATAGAAAGGAACTTTAAAACTTCTCAATGCCTTCCTTTCAGGTTAATCAGGCCCCACTGGTATAAATTTTGAGCTGTCCTGCTGTCTGAATTGCAGTTTTTGGGAAATGTTTATACACAGCTGAATGATAGCATGCATAACTGTGAACAGTTTGAGTTTGCCTCTAAAACTTATCAGTAACTGAGCTACTTTCACTGTTCCTAAGTCCATCTGCCCATCCTTAAAGTCTGCAAATACTGGTCTGATCAGGGACTTTATTCACCATCACAAAGCTTTTGAAGGTTAAGTCAGAATTACTGCATTAGGACTGTGTTTTGACAGCATCCAAATTGCCAAGCTTCCTGGCCTGTTGCAGATATAGAGAGGCTTCTTCATTTGCACAAGTTGTTTCAACAACATTGACTATTGAGCAGCTTCCCAGCAAAAAGCATTGTGTGAAGACATCTATCTAATCAATGAATTTGATCACTTGGCTGTCTGAAGGTCACACCCCAAACAATGTGATAGAGCTGACGCAAATTCATTAATACATACATTCTGGTCACAAAAGTAAAAACTTTTTTTTTTTCCCCACCTTTTCCCTCTCTTTGCGTTTGCTGGATTCTAACACAAAGTAGAAAATGAGTGTAATGCTGTTACTGATCAGTATTTAGGACCATATACTGAAGTTCCATGTTGTTACCACTGGCTACTTACTATAAAATCCTTAATGTTTAGGAGTCTGGATGCTTCAGTCAGGAAGATGCACGCAATAGTCCTTTCATTAGTTTTCTCTCATGAGAAAATTAAGAGCTTGCTCTTTTTCTTCATGAGTATTACAGTAATTTTTTTTTATTGATCTCCATCAGAGAAGATCCTAGCTATCTTGTGTGAAAACCACATGAATGTGGCAGGCAGTGCACAGCTACAGAAATGATTACAGTTGGTGATATCTATTTAGATGGGATTTTTTTTTGTTTTGTAGTTCATCCAGTTGCTCTTTGATTTGGTCTTATGTTTCAGTGCTGGGCTGGTGCTTGATGCTCTCTCAGAACTTCCTGGACTTTGATGTGGTTTTGAAACGAAAAGGTTAATACTCCCTCTGTCCCATCCTTCTCTGCCCAAATATTTATTGTGATGCAAATTTTTTTTTCCTAGCCTTTGCTGCTTCCCTTGTGCTTATTTCTTTACCTCAGCACAGCAGATAAAGGTGTTACAGGGACAGGAGGTGATGGGAAGTGAAGAAGTCTGCATTTCTTATTTCAGCTACTCCAGTCTGATCCTGACCTCTGGCCTGCAGCCATGGCTAGTCACAGGTGCTGATAGTTATCCACTCCTTCCCAAAGGCAGTGCTTCTCACATACTTTTTTTGAAATGCCGGGTACCTTTCTTCACAAGCAAGTAAGCTTCTGAAGCAGTTACTCCTGCTATTAGGACTTTCCTTTTTTTATTTTTTTTTTTTTTAAACTGAACTGCTTTCAAGACTTTCTCATGAACGAGGGAAGGGACTGTTGCTGTAGACTGTACTTGCTGAAAGCGTAAAATTGTGAAGACCTGGCTGGGTATTGGGGGCAAGCCGGGTAGGAGAACTGAACTAAACAGCCAAGAACAGAAGCTGACACAAGGTTAGAAACTTGATGTGTGACCCTCTGATATTAAGGTCTTTGTAGGTCAGCAGGCAAGCCTTAAGTTTCTAAGCTGGTTTCTGGGAAAATATCCTGTAGAGATTTTAAAAAAAAAAAAAAACAAAAAAACCCACAAAACACGTGGGGAGAAGGAGTAGGAGTAATATTGAAAGCCAGTGTGAGGCCTAGACTGTAGTGCTTCACATCAGTGCAAAGCTTTCTGACAGAACACTGCTGGAGGTCAGCAAATAATGAATTGTAGTAATCAAGCTGAGAAATTACAAAGGCTTTAACGAAATGTTTCTAGATCTCTGCTCTCAGACTTGTTTCAGTCCCCTGCTGCTTGGAAGATGGCAGAGAGGGAAATCTGTTATAGCTTGGGGTAGATCTGATGGCCAGGTAGGAAGGTGGTTTTTATATTTATAGAGTATATCTAATGCTGCAGAGCAAGAAGCTGTGGAGTGATAGCTTGGAATCTCTGCAGAGCACTCGTGTTCCATTCCCACTGCTATGCAACTAATATTCATTAAACCTGTCTTAATAGGGACTAATTTAAGGAAAAGACAGCTAATTCATGGAACCTATGCCATGTCAAGTTGTCTCTGATGTGTTTATGGAGGAGTCAAAACACCAACAAAAAACCTCTGTCATACAGGACATCTTAATGCAAGCTGTGATGTGAACTTCCATCACAGTTCTTGGTAAGGGGCTCTTGGGCTGGTAGAAGCTCTGCAGTGAGAAAAGTCCTAGTTACATCACTACCTTCCTTCAGATGACTTCCCTGTTACTAGTTTTATGTTCTCTGTTAAACTGTATTGGACTCGTTTCATTCCCACAAAGGTGAATGCTGTGCAACTATGCTTATAATCAGATGGAGTAAATACTGTACTGTTTTTAACCCTTTTCAGCACCCTCCTTACTTCTTTCATCCTGAAGTGCAGTATCAATGAATTTAGAAGCTGAATAAAAGAACTGGCTGAGCTTGAAAGTGGGGAGATCATCTGCTTCCACTCCATGGTACTCCACAGTCATGTCGTGATAATATTCTGGTCCTGTGTCCACATTCCGCTGACCATGGGCTGCATTGAGGATGTGGGTGAAGCCTGCCTTCTCAAGGCTGTAGCGATCTAACGCAGTTTTCCTGTTAAAACAAGAGCTGTCATGTAAGTGAAGAAGTTTCTTACCCAGCAAGCCATTAAAAAAAAAAAAAAACACACTAAAAATCTCTGATTTGGTATGTTCTAAATGTTAATGAAACTGATAATGCTTCAAAAATGCATCATGTACCATTGTCAAGCTGTTAAGATACTGTCATTCAGAGTGAATGATCCTTCTGGACTTCATAACTATCTCTCCCAGGTCCTTAGAGCACCTTAAAAATGAATTTATTTTCCTGGCACCTTTGAAATGTAGGCAATACCAGCTTCTATCCATCTTGTACAAGAAGAAACATGAGATACAGAAAGAACGAATTATTTAAAGTCATGAAAGCAAATCAGTGACAGAACTTGAAATAGGACCTATGAATCCTGTTTTCCCCTTCTGTCCCATCACTAGATATTGCAAAACTAATGAAAGACTCAGTGATACGTGAGTAGCAAGATAGTAAGATCATCTGGTATTCAAAAAGCAGCTCTTCATCACTAAAAGAAATTACTGAGTTTTTTTTCTCCATTTCTATTAAAAAAAAAATAATTAAAAATCACCCTTCTGTCGTCATAACTCCCTATCAGGTTTCCTTTTACTCTCATGTTTGGTTAGACAAAAAGAACTAGGTACAGACATTGGATATTAGCCTTCAGTGAAAGCTTAAAGTCATGTATTTAGCCCAATATTCTAATTTATTCTTGCCCTCTCTTCCCTTGGACAAGGGAAGCCAGATAGGAGAGGAAATCCTAGATTTTTTGTGTGCCTAGCACCTACTCTAAATGCTTTCTAGCAGCCTGAAATTCCTCAAAAAGTGCAGAGTTTGTGGAGAGGCATGTAAAAACTTTTTTGTTCCATCATAAAAAGCTTTTAATTTTGGAAAGTTTTCTTCTGGAAAAGCTGTCAGGTTTTTACCAAAATATTACATAGACTTTATTCTGTTAATATATTTTCACATAACTACTGCTGCCATAATGAATTAGTGCATGACATGAAACAGCTTTTTCCAACCAAAAGTACCTCTCTCCATGAATGTTTCCTGAACCTTTCAGTGTGCGAATGCAGCTGCTGCCTGTGGCGGGCTACCTGTTGTGTTTCATAATTCTAGTGGTGACAGCTCAGAATAGCTTGAAGTTGACTCCACCTTCCCAGCCTCTGTCAAAGTCAAAATCCCCCTTTGAGCAGTCGAGAACCTAGTGTTTTAGAGCATTTAATGGGAATGTGGCTACTGAAGGTCTTACCTATGTTCTCTCTTATTTAAATTAAGCTTATGGTAATTGGCTGTTCGAAGTAGATTTTTCTCCCTGCAGAAATTCCTTTCTGGACAGGAACGATAATGTCTTGACTCTACTGGCATTTTTGCCATGAAATAATATCGTAAGTCCCCTATGTGACAATTTAATAAAAACTCCAGTTAGTGTGCTGATGCCTGCCTAAGCCCAGTAGACTCTGGAGGACAGAGGAGCAGCAGTATCTTGCTTCTCGTGCTGTGACTTCCCACCTTCACCTCAGGTTAAATAATGCTCACTCCTTCCCTTTGCATTGTTGTTGCTGTGATTGACCTGGAAAGATATTTATTTTTCTCCCTCCTTTCAGGAGGCTCATGCCATAGGATTCTCTTCAGGTGGATATGCTCTATACAATTTGCCGGCCCAGGCACTTCAGTTCTGGACTGTAAGGATGGACAGTACTTCAAAAACAGATTAAATGTCCTGGATGAAGAGTAAAGGGGCAGTGAATAACTACTCCTCTTGGTGTTTTGATGTGCTTGAGGTGAACTACAAGATTCTAGTTTCAAATTAAGTCTTACTTTGTTTTACCTCCCTAATACTGGGATAGAGAAAATATGATTTCCATTCACCAGACTTGGCCCAAAGCATGTATCCAGCAAACAATGAAAGACTGATGGTTTCAGGTCAGAGATCTGTGCTCAACTAGAAACCCTGAAGGGGTGTCCTGCATGCTGAATAGCAAGTAGGACTGCGGTGTACTTAGGGTTGATGGACTGTAGATACTACCAAACTTTTGTTTCTGCAAGCACTGCTTAGGCTAATATATAGCATTTGAATTAAATAATGAAGTTGTTCTGAGCAAGGACAATGTCAAACAATAGGTCGCATGACAATCATTAACATTTGACACTGTTACATTCACCTGAAATCCAATTTTCCTGTTTCCTTGATTAGGTTCTCAGGAGATTGCCTTTTGACACAGTGGGTGCATCTGATGCGTTTGTTTGGCAGTCGCACTTCAATCTTGTTATATGTCTTAAAGATCTCATTTTTTAAGTGTTCAGTGGCCCTGGTGGTTTAATAGGTATTCAGAAAGAAGGGATACTGTCTTTTGCTAACTGCATAAGCAGGCTCCTGAGAACTTCCCCCTCCCCCTCCCAGTCTTGCCTGTAGCTGCATACTGGGAATTTGTGGCCTAGGATGGAATTCATCCTCCTCCTTTTTATTTAATCAATTAAAGGCAAGGCAGCTATGTGTCCATTTTGCATCACAATTTGCATTGGCGCCTTGCCCTCGGCCTGTTAGAGTTTGGGAATATGCACATTGTGCATATTCATAGCAGGTGATCCTGCTTCAGCAGGTCCTGCTCTAGCAGGGGGGTTGGACTAGATGATCTCCAGAGGTCCCTTCCAACCCCTACTACTCTGGGATTCTGTTACTCCCTCTGTTTCCCATGGCTTGGGCTAGAGATGGAATGAGTAGCAGCAATGGATCGACCTTGAATGCTGTTACAAAAAGCCTGTTGTAAATGCTTAGATGTAACTAAATCATCATCTGTGAAATCTCTGATTTTTAAAGTAAATCATAAGTGTACCAAGGAAATACTTGGAGGGTTATCTACTCCACTGGCTTTGGCACTGAAGAATTTACACTGTTTTCCTCAAGGCTTGGGATAGGGTGATTTTAATTGATAATTATATTTTCATAAAAGATATATCTTTACTGTTCTTTCAAAAATTTTCCTTTTTTTTTTTTTTTTTTTTTTTCTTCCCCTTGTAAACCTTTCTCCAAAAGCCAGGCAAACAGCCCAGCTGGACCACCACTTGTCTTACTGCCTCGGGTTTGTCTGCTTTTTCACTCCCATCCGCTGTTTCTTTACCTCGCCTATGGATCATAAATACTATTGGGCAGGGGTGGCCTGAGCTGAGACTCTGACACTGCCATAATACAGACAGTTAAACTTGAGGTCATGCTGTGTCTGCAGCATGTTGTTTGCCAGTTAACAGAGAGCAAGAAACAGGCTGTGAAGCTCTCATATAGGGGGACCCATGTAAATGGAAATGTTACTGTGCCGCTTGGACCGGCTTTAGCCATCAGTGAACTCTGGCTTTGTGTGAAGGACTGGCTTGCTTTCCAGCCTCACCTGACTCTGTAGTGTGGATGCTGTTGTGGAAGCATCCCTCATTATCTGTGCAATCAGAGCCTAATTTGTGTGTGTGTGTGTTTCATTATGCATGATACTCCTGGTTACATCCCAAGGAGAGGGGAATGCTTTTGGTCTTCCTTGCAGTTTTTACCGTGCCTGAAGTATCAGTATTTTAGATGGAGTAAATCAAGCAGAAATATCTGCAAATATCTGATTGGTTGAGGTGACTAATAGCATAGGATCATTCAGGGGTATATGAATCATATGCCTTATTGGAGGATTTATAGCTCTATTTCTAATTCACTTTCAGCTAGAAATGGCACAGATTTTTTTTTTTCCCTTGCAATTGGCTCACTACCAGAGTTTAACAGTCAGGCTAGCAATATTCCTCTTTTTTCCCCCTCTTTGGGTGCTGCTGTTTCCTAATAAATTGCAAATAATATTTCTGTTTTTGTGATTATGGTTGAATTTTAAGTATCCATGTAAAGAAGTGTTTGCTACAAATGCCAGTGTAGGTGAAGCCAGAAACATTTGACTACTCTTGCGATTGTTTTCATTTTGTGTATCTCCACCATCTGTGCTATTAGCACTTGATTTCCTTTTACATGGTGCAACTGTGGCCTCCAGTGTCTGCCTTGAATGTGTTCCTGTGCAGAGAAGGTGAAGCGTGGCACTGGGAGATAACAGTGAAAATTTCAGTGTAATTCCGTTTAGTAAGAGATGAACTGGGTAGATTGGTCCCATGTAAAAACTCATCAGCTCTTCAATTCAGAGCACATAAACATATGCTGAAAGTTAAGCATACCCAGAAGTCCTCCTCTCTGTAGCAAAGCATGTTAAGCAAAAGCTCAGTGCTTTACTGAATCAGACCCTGCATTTACTGTAGGACAGTTGGACTCATAAACATGTTTTTAAAGTTCCTAGCCAAGGGGGAGTACTTTGATATGGGAATGCCATGTAAATGGCGAAAATTTGAGATAAAATCTCTCTCACATAGGGATATATTGATAATAACAGACTACCACCAAGAGGGAGAACTGACCCGAATAAAAATGTCATCCATTTTCAGATGATTCCCAAAAGACTATTTACATCCCTTGGGTTGTACAAGGGCAAGTAAAGGGCTTGTCCAAAACTTTAACTGTGCCTGCTGTCAGTTTTAAAGCTAAGATTCATAGCATTAAAAGCAAATGCTGGAGCAAACTGTGCCGCCTTCTGGAAACAACAACGTAAGTAGTTATAATGTGAAAGAAAATCCTTTCAAGTTGCTGTCTCCAGTGTACCAAATCCCTTCTCTCTCTTTTCAAAAATACTGTCATACAAGCTTTAGTCCCAGCTGCTTTCATCAGACAGATGCCCAAACCAATGGAGTTGCAAGAGAAGGGAAGACAACTTGGAAGCACTGCAGCCTGCACCTCCACATCAAGTATTAAGTATGTTAAAAGCGGCTAACAAAGGGAAGAGATGGCAGCTCATGATGAAAACCCAGGTGCATCTAAAGGAAGAGGAAGTAACCTCTGAAGCCTCGTGAGAATGTGGGCAGAGCAGCTCCCACCACAGGTAAATCAGCACCTCGTAGCTGGTACTGGTCAACCAGACGAGTGGTATGCTTGTGAGCTCTAGGTAGAGCCAAGTCTCTTAAGCTTCGTATGAAGGTTGAGCAATGCAAACCTGTTTCAGTATAGACTATTAAAGCCACAGATTGCTGTGACCCAGATTGACAAAACACAAGGAAATCTGAGGCAACACGTTACTAGAAGAGGAATCATCTCTTTCAAACTTTTCCATTTTCTTAAACGGTGAAGGAAAGCTCGATGCTGGATGATAATTTACCAGATGGTCAGTGTCAGAAAGAAGCTTCCTGAATATAGGCAATACTGACACTTTCTTAAGAAAATCTGGCAGTTCTCCCTCCTGAGGAGAGATGTTGAGAATTTCCAATAATACTGACCCAATTTCCTTTGGTAACTCCAGCACTGAGGCAATCTATAGATAGCGTAGCATTGTATCCCCTTTTCCGTCTGAGGTGTTGCTCCATTTCTGTAGGTACCTCCTGTTCAGTGTGAATTAGAAGAATTTTTAGTTACCACTGAAAATACTGAACAGGATCTTCGTAATATGTGGTACAAAAGTTTTAGTAGTCCGCTTTCCTCTAGCCCAAAAGGGTAGATGTTGTTTTTGTAAGTGATACAACATAGATACAGGAAATACCTCTCTGCTTTCTGTACAGCAAAGTCATCAAACCCATGTGCTGTAGTCAGTTCCTGGTCTTGACTTCACTCACCAAGTGTTAGAAATACAGACCTATATAGGTCTGACCTATAGACAGAGATATGTTGTGTGGGGAATAGTTACTTGTCTTGGAAATGGTTGCTGCTTGAGGAGGTTTGTGGTCCAGTGTTACAGATCTGATTTTTCTGGATTGTTAAACTGCTGTTACAGTCAGCCAATTCTCATACTAACAGAGTTGAAACTCTGTCCTCAAGAGTGTTGTTACAATCTAAATCTGCATACACTCCTATTTTTGTATGATTAATACTGGTGTAGATCCTAGGAGTTCATAATGCTAAACAGTGGGAGGTAACTATTTGCTACCATGAGTGAGTCCCATCTGTTTTCTTCTAGATCAGTATAAATTGTCTTTCTACTTAATTACTTGGGAAAAGCCATACTGTATTGTTTTTCTGGAGAAAGGGAAGAGGAGAGAACGAGTTTTAGTTAAGCATATGTGTATAGTTTAGTTATATATTTTAATTATCATATATCCCAGTCTGTAGGTTTGAGCTACTCGTGTGTCTTGGTGAACCTTACCTGTGTTAATTCTCATGACCGTAAGTCCTGGGGCTCAGCTGGAGGAATCACAGACCATAGCTTTCTTGAAGTGCAAGCTCAGCTCAGCTGCATATCCAGAAAGTTATTTTTCATATTTAACCTGTAAGGAATTAGACTCCAGAAGGCTTCTTTTCCTCTGGGAGTCATTTGAGAACACAGAAAGACCTGAAATTTTGATCAGGCTTTAAATACTAATGAGAGCTAGAGGATGGTTAAGATGAAAGCAAAATCTGGGGAGGCCTTTGTCTTCAGCTAAAATATTATTTGAAATTCAGCAATGTGGAACCATGAACATCATCTCAGGTAATAAGGCGATCACTGAAGAGCTGCAAGAAGAAACTACAAGCTGCAAAACTGGCAGAGATTTTCCACATGCCTGCAGTGAACCAAGCAGGCTTGGGATTAGCCAGTGAAACTGCCCGTGTAAGTAACCTGGTGCCCAGTGCGAGAAAGGAGCAAGACAAAGCTGCTTGCTGTCCCTTTAGAAGGCTTCTGGATGTGAGAATGATACATGCAAGCACTGATCCTGGTAGCAGATGAATCAAAATCTTGGCAAGGCATGTTTTATTCCTATCACTGGTCTGTCTCCTACAAGTTCCAGTGTCTGGTCTTTAAAAGTCCTTGGAACTTGCTGGAGGAAAATTTCAATTGGAGCTGAACACAGCATGTTATATTTTGAGGCTTTGATTATTCTGGGCCTGACAGGCTCATGGAGATTTCATTGCCTCTGGGCAACATCTGCAGCGAAGCCTTGTAACAAAAGGATTGAGTGGCCTCACAGGGCTCCTTGATAGCCTGTATTGCATTAGAAGGAAGATGTGGTTACGTAGTCAGGGTAATTAATTAGCATTTCCATAAGCAGTCACAAGTCCTGTTAACCTTGTAAATGCAGGAGGCAGGAATGAAGCACAGATGTGAAGGCTCTGAAGATAAACTCTGCATGTGTGTGTTCACTTGATTTTTGTTGATGAGCTCCACTAAATTCTTTCAAGATCAACCTTAATTTAGCATGGCTGAGGATGCAAATACACCCAACATCTGTTCATGTCTCCATGGCAGCTCTTTGGCGACCAGTGCTACAGTAAGATCTTAAAATAAAACAATACAAAACCCCCTGCCACACTGAAGGGGGAAGCTGTTGGTCAGAAGTAAGATGTGGAGCTGGCCTAGGAAAAATGTAGGTGTCCCTGGACTTTGCCTGCTTCAAATCAAATTTTTAGTTGTGGTAATGAAAGCTGCATTTTGCCTGTGGACCAGTTCTCATCTCAGTCTTTCTGCTACTGGATGTCAAGTTTGCCCTTATCTGGCTGACAACAGTCACTCTCCTGCAGGAAGCCCCATTTTCTGGGAAGTTTTATTTCAGTTCACCCCTTCTCTGCTCCCCGCTTCTTTATCCTTCTCAATTGGTTTTCTCATTCCTTTGTCCCGGTCACAGCGGGGGACTTGTTTCCCCTTGAAGCACCATTGCTCTTCCTCCTGACTTAAGACCCATCCCCTGCAGAAATAAGAAACTGCCCAGTGTACGTGGGTGCAGCTCTGCCTCTCAAGAAACTTGTTTTTCGGTTCCTCTGGTTAGTTTGTACAGAGTGCGGGTGCGAATTCTAGTCAGAGCTGTGCCTCCTAGCATTTATTAAATACAAAGTGTAACAAGCCGCTGCTACAGGAACGGTCGATTACATGAAGGAGTCAGTGCCTGGTGTCCTGGGCTGGGAGACTGACTGTCCAAAGGCTTGTCTCGTTAGATCCCTTTGCTCAGACGGCAGAGCTGTAGCTTCATCAAAGAGTTAAGAGGGAAATTATTCTACTGGCTTCATTCAGGATAATTCTGCTGGTGACTTTGAAGAAGGAAGTAGGAAATAAATGCCAGGAGAGGCTGTTCTTTACCCTGAATCTTGAGTCAGAAATATCTAACAAGACGGGCAGGGTAGGATGGGGAGAGAACAACTCAACCCTGCTTTCCTTTGCTCCTCAGTCATTTTGCCAGGCTCTTCCCATGCCTTAAAATATTTTTTTTTTTTTTTGTTTTCCCCTCTGTCTCTAAAGTGGGAGCCCTGGCTTGGTTAAAGCCCAGAACTCTTGTGTGTCTTTCTGTTGCCTCTGGCGCCACATAAGTAATTGGTCGATGATATTAGGAGACTTGTAATGTTCAAAGCTGTATATCTTTCCTCTTTTATAAGCTGGCAACAGATGAATTTTAGGGCCTTTTAAAAAAATTATTGAGAACTTTGGAGCCAGTGGGGCTCCTGCTTGTGCCTTACAGTGATGATGTAAAATAAATGTCATGTTAGTGAAGGGTGTAGAGGAAAATGGGAAGGGGACCAATAATGCCTAAGGGGTAAGAAAAGCTTTCTTGCTCTGCTCAGGGTTTGGGTTGGGAGATTTTCTGATGGCATGTCTCCTCGCTGCAGCAGTCATCCCTGCCTGTCAGAATAGGCTGTTTCCAGCTTAGTCCTGTGCTCAGCAGAGCTAAGTCTGTTTTGTGGGTTTGGGTTTTTTCCAAATCACACTTGGTCTGATCAGAGAGACACATCTCTGCAGCTTTGCCTTCCACAGGGTTCTGTTTGTTTTAATCTCTTGAGCAATTTGGAAATGCAGGGTACTCCATGTACACAAGCACAGGCTTGGAGATGCAGAAATATCACTGCGGGTTGAGCTGTCTCTTCAGTCACTTTTCAAGAATTACATTTTAGGCTTAAACCAACTTAATCTGCAGTCGAGCCATGGGGGCCGTGCCCTTCTGTCAGTGTAACCGTGGCAGGACTTTGAGATACATGACAAATTGCTCCTTGAAATGAGACAGTTAAAAATGGATGGTGAGTAGCTCGAACCTCTGCAGCCTACACTGGTGCCACGACTGCTCCTGTTACTCGGCCTTTAACAGCGGACCCTGCTGCACAGCAACCAACACTGTGTGCCCGTACGTGTAAGGGCCATGCCAGGCTCTGATTGCTCTGTCGAACTCTGGCATCTGTCAGTAGCTCATCAGATCACATCATCACTGCTAAATACTAACAAATGGGTAGGAGGAAGAAAGAAATACCTTGCTGTGGTGAGCTGTACTTAGTACAGCTTAGTCATCGCCTATGTAGAAGAGATGTACTATGTACACTTACTCATCTGCTATGTAGAGAGGTACTATGTACACTTACTCATCTCCTATGTAGAGGTTGGGCCAAACTTCATTGACATGAGTGTACTTCGGGCATCCTTTCCAGAAGAGTCGCTCTAATTCAAATGCACCTGGGGTACAGTAATCTTCATCAGGATCCACTTTGATTGCTGTGTACGCATTTTTCTTCGCAGCGTTCAAACTTGCTGATGACATCTTGTCCATGGAGGATGTGCTAGTGTCTGGAATGCAACCAAAACAGAATGTTGACCTGAGGAAGCAGAAAGCAAGTTCTGCTCCGGCTGTGGGACGCTGGGAGCAGCGCTGTCCAGGTGCGATCAGGCTGGGCCTGCTATGGGGTTGGATGTACCTGCTATGGGGTTGGATGTACCTGCTATGGGGTTGGATGTACCTGCTCTGTGGCACACAGACTCACATCGGGATTTCTGCCTCCCCTGAACTAGGCGAGGAATGCTTTGTCAGACAAGCTTACCAGCAATGGGAACAAAAGCCAAAGGTTTGTGAGCACTGAAGTTCGGTCTCCACTGGGAATTTATTTCCTGGAAAATCCACAAAGGATTTGGTAGGTCTAGCAGCCTGATCCAAGGGATCTAGAGCAGCTAGGGGAACTGAGTGGGGGAAACTTAAGATGTTTCTTTATGATTGTGAATCTCCTAAAAGCTTTTCTTTTATGTGATTTTAGCAGGTCAGGGAGATTGAATGTGTCCATTCAGGTGAATGCTGGGTGTACCTGTTCTACTCTTTCACGATCCTAATGGAGCCCTGCATGCTGAACTTCACAGGCTTTTTGCAGGAATGAGTTTGCTTTTTTGCAGCACCACTGACTGACAAAATATTTTTTTAGCCAGGATGGTCTCAAAGACTTCCTGCTTTTCAGGTTCACTTTTTCTTTTTTAACCTAGTGAGTAGGAAGGAGCACTGATAAACAGATTATCCTGTAGCTAAAATCAGAATATCGTTAATGTTGCCAAACCCAACACCCTTAGCCTGGCCATGCTGTCAGGGCTGTGTTGCTCAGAACTGACAACCTTGATGTTCGAGCTATCTGCTAGTGTTGAACCCTTTGGTGTCAGCTTTATGCATCTCTTGAGGCCACAGATTCTCTCCTGTTTGCTGTGATTTCCTCAGCTGCTGTCCTGATTGAGGCTTTCCCCTGTATTTTCCCTCAGCTGTGGAGTCGGCAGTTACAGCCCAGTTAGGTCGTCTCTCTCCTCCCCCACTTGCCAAGGCTGGGCTTTACCCAGGAGCTGAGCACTCTGGGCACTGACCCGCAAGCAGCAGGACCTCGGAGGGCAACCTGGAGTTTTCACAAAGCTGGTGAGTGAAGTTAAAGGCCAGAGGCTAACTTTTGAGATTCGACACCTCCCCCATCCATGCCATAGGCCATAACTATAGGTTTGTAAGAACATTCTTGTCTCTTAATCAGGTGAGGTTTTTGCATCCGTGTTTAAGTCTCCTAATCCCCTGCAGCTGAAGTATTTTAGGTAAAAGCCCAGTGAAATAACTGTGATACAGACACCCTTGTACCAGCTGCTGCAGGTGCAGCTCAAGTGTGGCACTGCACTGGCCAGTGGTATCCCCACGCATACAGTGTTGGGTGCATTTAGGTCAAGGGGTTTTCAGATTATTTTTTATTTTGATTTTTTGACTACTTGAAGAAAACTTTGCAGGGGGAAAGCTAAGGTACAGTACAATCATGTATTCTCAGTAAAGAAGAAGAAGCAAGGGAGTGATTGACAAGTAATAAAGGTGTACATGAGAGCTTTTCAGTCCAAATTAACAATGCTGGAAATTCTGCACACTACCAGACAAATACTGAGGTCGCAGATCCAGGCACAATGTCGGAGAAGGATTATTTTGAGGGACATAGGTGTTGTAATGTCTCCTTCTGGTTTTCTTCTATGAATTTGCACATTACTGAAGGCAAAGCATGTTTTGTTCTGCAAGTGGTCAGCAACATGCAGCTGATCATCTTCAAGCTACAGCAAACCTCTAGGAACTAGAATTTGGGGCTGGCCACACGCCTGACCTCCTATTTACCCTGTCGACAGTTGTCACTTAACCATCTTCCCCTCTTGTCCTCTGAAACAAGTTTCCCTTTTTTCCGTGTTGCCAGCCTTCTGCTGCAGACTTTGCTCCATCTCGCTGTTGGGTCTGTCTTGTTTCTCCTGCTGGACTCCCTGATGTCTCAGGGCAGAGGTTACTCCTGTCTCTCATCCCCTTGAAGGGAGAAGTTGAACCTTGCAGTTCCATAGGAGACTCGTAACAACAAGAAGCAGAGTTGAGCTTGATCTTATGAAGTATGTGAGTACAGCCTGCCAAAAATCCACCTTTCTTGCAGGCGACAAATTCTGTAGTGGCTCCCACAATTTTTTTTGTGTTGGCTGCTGGTGAGGTTTGTGTCCTTTTAATTATAAAAATCTGGCTAGTGGCTTCATGCAGCTGTTGTAGAGCTCTCCTGCAAGCAGGATGGCCATTTTTCACTGACATCCCATGTACCCATGGGGTTTGTTTCCTCACTTTGGGCTCTTTTGTGCCTGTCATGTTCTGTTTCTCTGCAAAACTTGAAAAAGCCAAATGATTCCTGTTTTCCTACTCCAAAGCTAGGCAAGATTGTGGAGCCAGTTTTTGTTTGGCACATGTACACCTTTGTTCAAAAATTGGCTTGCTTTCACTGGCAAGGGGATCTATCTTTCAGCCAAGCTTCCTAAAATATGATGATGATGTTTAGCTAAGTGGTCCTCTGTTGAGATTTGTATAGGCCTCTGAGAATTCCAGCTTCTAGGAAATTTACCTTGGGCTCGGTCTTATGTGCCTCTGAGTAGCACCAAGTCCCATCTCTGTGCCCCCAGGAGCCCCTTTTTCCTTCCCCTACCAGAATTATGCTAATTCTACATGCAGACTCAACAGCGTAGATAATGTTAGACTGTCAGAGATACAAATCTAATACAGTCTGACTTTGGGAGTGAATAGGCGGTTATCTAGCACTTGATAAGAACTGTTATTTGTCTAGTAAGGCATTATCTTAACTGAGAGCCTGTTGCCTTGATGCTGAAGGACTGGCTGTGCTTTTATTCACGGCTCCATGAAATGGGAGGGGAGGAAACAAAGGAAAGAAGAGAAAGCAATGTAATCAGTAATCACGCTCGGTGGCCGTGGCACATTGATTTGTTACACCAATAGTCCTGTTCCTAGGCTGCAGACCTCAAAACAGGGCAATTACATCTGCAAATGATCCTTTGTGGTACTGTAACACCGTCTCAGTTTGAAGCTCGGTTAGCACTCTGAAAGTTAGACCTCTGCTGAGAAATACTCGTTTCTGTCTGTCCTGGGAAGCCATATGCTCCCTGAACTTTCAAGTAAGCTCTGCTCTTTTATGCCTTGCCAATGTTATCTGCTGCAGGGATTTTTAAATTGAATTAGAGCACAGGAAAGCATCAGCTGAAATTCCTCTAATAAATTATGTATTTCAGATTTGTCTCTAGACTAAGTAAGAAGTAACAGAGTTTAACTAGGAGGAGGGGAAGGGGGGAAAAAGGGACTTTGCTACTTGAGCTCCGGAATTAATTGCCATGAAGCGTTTGGTTGGGGAGAGGACAGAAAGGCTTGTCTCTTTCCAGGAACCAAAGATGTCTGACCTCATCTCTTATTGACTGTTCTGTGTACGCCAAATGGAGCTGAGGGAAGACTGTTCCCTAGGCCTGCCCTCTTTGATTAAAAAGTGAAAAGTGGATTGGAATTTTTTTTTCTAATTGTTGTTCTTAATGCTGTTGTGGATATAAGGATGATTGTTTGTCTATATAAGGATGGCTGTCTAGCACAAGCCAAGGCAGGGAAAGCTCAGATTTCTTTTGCAGATCTCTGGGGAGGGGAGACCGTCCCTTGCAGGGTGTTGTCCCGATGCAGTTGGATGGCAGGGTTACCCCAGCACAGGCTCATGGGAGCAGTCTCCCACCCCTTGTGGTGCTTCTTTTGGGCTAAAATGCTTTGCCTTACAGGCTGGTTAGCGCAGGCTGAATGACGTACCAGGGCAGCTTTCCTGTACCAGCTTCGCAGTCGCTTCATGGCACCACACCGTGCTGGGACACGCAACCTTGGATGTGAAAGCTCTCTGGAGCAGGGATGGTCCTCGTGCCCTATGCATAGGGGACTCTGCACCCTGCTTGCTCCTGGAAGTGCTGCTCCAGCTCAGGACAGCCTTTCTTGTTTCATGGAGGAGGGATGAAGAGGAGAGTCAGCTAGCGGGAACTGCCGCTCTCCCAGAGAGGTTCTGCTCGGCAGGAAGCTTTGACCCCAGCTTCGGGGGGTAGTGAGGAATGGAGCCCTGCATCTGGGCCAGGAGTTCCCTTCCAGCGGGGCAGAGCAACCTGTGGCTCGTCCCACTCTTCCCCCACGCCCAAGCCACGGCTCCTCTCTGGCTCTCT